AAGATACTATCCTATTTTGTATATTCCTGGACATCATATGGAAATAGCAGAGATTCAAACAATTCATTACTTGTGATAACACTTTTACTGTTACTAATAAAAGGACAAATAAACTGATTTTTAAAATACATAAATTCAAAAGAAAACAGAATTCAGTATCTAATACAAAACTCAATAAAAACGTGATTTGATATCGGTCTGGCAGATACATACAGATTAGCTCAGGTACAAACATATTGATGTTTTTCTTTACAATTGTAAATTGAAAACTTTTATTATTATATAGATGTGTTAGCCAGGGAAGAGTTAATCCTTTGAGGACAAAAGTTACATCCATAAAAATGTTTTGTTTGAACTTGTGTATACTCAAAATTGGACTTACACTCACAAATACAATTTTAGATGTAAACAGCAAGTTTTATAAACAACTCACTCTTTATTAACCAAACAAACCATTTTACAGAAACAAGCCAAGGTACATATCTATCTGTATGTTCATGTTCACATACACACACATGCATGAAAGTGTTTTCAGAATTGCTGTTGGAAGCTTGTCCCTTAATGTACCCTAAATTTCTATTTGCTTGTTTGAAACCATGGAATTTACCTTTTAATATAGTGCGTTAAAGAATACATGCACAAAAAAGAAGGAAACTGCTCTCACAGTACTCCACAAAAGTTTTCATGTCCTCAGCTTCTGAAACATTTAAGTTTATTAACTTGCTGGCAGGCTCCTGAGGAATTTTAAGGCATCCATGCCTGTGCTATTTATTTTAAGCTCTGTCTTCCAATGTTATGAAATCAGCAAAGTCTCTTGACTTTCTTAGTAATTCCATTTCATGTGGTTTGGGCTTTCAGGCAGATTCAAGAATGACATAATCGTCTTTTCCCACCCACAGGTTTTGGACTGTTGCCACTGGTTACACCCTTCCCAGTAATGTCCAATGTGAATCTTTGTCCAATCCCATATGCCCATAAATGGAAGACGGCCCAGCAAAGATGACTAAAACACAGTTTCTTGGCTTTCTGCTGATCACCACCACAGGTAGTGTAAGGCTGCTTCGGTTTATTTCCTATTGGTTAGTATTACTCAGGGAACAGAGAAGGAATGTCAGTCCAACATCATGCTGTTCTAAAAGGAAGTGGACTGATGTCCCAATAAACTTTGCTCCTGTTTTTTGAAGGGAGAGCAGATTTCTTCAGTGTGGTAGCAGCAAATAAACAAGCTCTGCAAAGTGCTTCTTTTGTAAGTTTTACTGGAGCATTTATGCAAATGCACTCAGAAAGTAGAGAATTTTTCATTTCTTTAAAAAATAACCTGAAACTAGAACTTGGCTAGTACGTACTTATAAGCACTATCACAATCATACTTTGTATCATTAACAATACTGGATTCAAGTACCAAGCTCCACAGCAACAGGATAAACATTATGGAGAAAAGGCACTTTCCGGAGTCTGTTAACATCGGAGAACAGGGAGCAGTTTGCGGTTCAGTCCTGCTGCCCAGCCTCACAGAGCCCCTCCCGACTCCCCTGAAAACCCTGAGAGTGTTTGTACACATAAGAAATATACCATGTTAATGCAGCATAGAAAGCAAGGCCTCCAGCCACGTGCAGTGCAATGCTTAGACACCACCGTAAGGCGAGAGCAGGATGCGGAACACTTCGCCCTAGACCAAAATTCAGACTTCCAGAGAAAGAAGTATTCCTTCTGGCACAGCCCAGTCTACCTTGGCTGTTTGCTCTGGACTCACTGGTTCCTCCAGCAGTTCTGAGAAGACGATGATGCCTTTATGTGCTTGTCTGGTTCATGCTGCAGACAGCACGGGAAGATACACGTATCTGTCACCTTGTACTTTCTAAGCCTAGATATTGTTTCAGCCTGCAGATTAGCTCTAGTAACAACTGCATCTGTACGCTTCTGCCACCACAAATGTCTCGCAAAAAACACCATTCTTTTCCTAAGAACATTCATTTGCAGGATTTGTCTCCAGAAGAGTTGCTCTTTACAGCTATGCTTTTCATGGCTTTGTCAAACTTTTAAGTACTGCACAGCATCATCTAGTCTGCATCAACAGAAGTGTGGCCAGCAGGTCGAGGGAGGTGATTCTTCCCCTCTGCTCTGCTCTCGTGAGACCCCACCTGTACTACTGCACCCAGCTCTGGAGCCCCCAACACAAGGGGCACAAGGACCTGTTGAAGCAGGTTCAGAGGAGGGCCACAAAGACGATCAGTGGGCTGGAGCAGCTCTCCTGTGAGGGCAGCCCGAGAAAGTTGGGGTTGTCCAGCCTGGAGAAGAGAAGACTCTGGGAAGACCTTACTGCGGCCTTCCAGTATCTGAAAGAGGTCTACAAGAAAGCTGGAGAGGGACTTTTTACAAGAGCTTGTAGTGATGGGACGGAGAGTAACAGCTTCAAACTAGAAGAGGGTAGATTTAGATTAGAAATTAGGAAGAAGTTCTTTACTATGAGAGTGGTGAGACACTGGGACAGGTTGCTCAGGGAACTTGTGGATGTTTCATCACTGGATGTGTTCAAGACCACGTTAGATGTGGCCCTGTGCAACTTGTTCTAGTAGGAAGCATCCCTCCTTGGCTTAGCAGGGTTGGAACTAGATGATCTTTAAGGTCTTTTCCAACCCAAACCATTCTATGATTCCATGATCGTGGTTTCTTGGACCTCTTAAACCCAAGACTACTGAGAGGCATTGCTCCAGGTCAGCTTCAGGGCAATTACTTACTTGTTGACAATTACATTGCTGTTTTAAGAGCTGGCACTGAACTATCGAGCAAATAAAAAAAATGTATCATGCTCAAGGAAACACTAGTCCATGTCAAGAAGAAATGGAGAAGAATGCGTCACCATAAAAGTAAATGAACTAACCTGGAAAGATACAAAAATCCTGACTTCTGATTTCTTTCTCTTCTTGGGCAATGAGTCAATTCTGGAAAAAAATGCAACTGGGCAATGTGAGTCAATGACTTGGCATCAGGATGTACAGTCTAAAGATAGAAGAGGAGAAGCTAGAAGACAGAGTTCTCATGGGACTTCATTTCATGATCAGGTACACTCTCATATCCCCACATGGCCCTATTCTAAGTGGAGTGCAGCTGAGAGTCATGCCTTTCTCTCACTCCCAGAAGTGTGTGATAATCCATTTGAACAGAGATCTAGCAGGAAAAAAAGCATGAGATAGGCTAGAAAATGAGACAAATTGATAATAATGGTCATCAAAGAGTAGAATTTACTGCAACAGGAATTCCATGTGAAATGGATCCAGAGGGTAATATTTCTTTCTGTAGTACCTGTTCACAGAGCAAGCTACAGGAATATTTTTGTTCCTGTGATAGAAATTACCTAGCTAATAAGTTACAACATTTTAAGAAAGAGATAATAGGAAAATCCTATATAATTCTACTTCAGTGCTATTGGAAAGTCCAAGGCAACTGAAATGTGTCCTTTCAAGACAATAGTTAAGTTTTTGGAAGTTTTTACAAATTTATCTGTCCTTTGCTGATAGAATGAAATAAAAGATTATTTAGATGGCCAAGCTCGTAAAATTTTATTAAGTATCTTTAACTGCCTATAATGAGATCTATTTCTTCTAGTAATGCAATTATTGTTAACTGCTGTTCCAGTACTAAGAAAGAAAATCTGGTTTAGTTGCAGTGGAATTGTAGTTATATAAAACATTCAATTCTCCCATCCACATTAACATCAACACAATCCATTTAGGTTTCTCATTAATGGCATTACACAAGCACTTTCAAAAATATTTTAAAATCACATACATCATGTATTTTTTGGTATACATAAAGAGTAGCTATGAAAATACTCAACTTTTGCCATTCTCTCACAGCAAGAACATAGTAGACATTTCTCTAGAAAGATGCTAAGAGTCATTCTAATCAGATAGGTAGAAGGTATGTCATAGTAGACTGTATTTATTTCTGGAGCAGATGAATATTAAGAATCCAAAGTGCTTATTCAACATTTTCTGCCAATGTTACCTGTGGGAATACTTGAGACAAGTTGTCAGCTAGCATCATCACCCTGCAGTGATCAGTCTTAATGGAAAAGCAGAGTATGAATCGCTGGCTAGAGCCGAGCGTGCAGCACAAACATTTTCTTTGATGAGTTTAACAACACTCATGTCTTTATTAGGTCTGCTTTTTTATAATATTCTAAACAATATTGTCAAGAAAGTTGCAAAAATAAAATTTACGCTTAGCAGCATATTCACACAAAGCTAAAGCTGATTTTTTTTTTTTTTAAATAGTGGTAATAAAAGACAATTCTATGAGTAACACCCAGTTAATCAATAGAAAGAAAATATCAGATCATCTACCCACACATCAGAACACCCTGAACTGAAAACAGTACATTGTAATGAGTGATTCATGATTAATTGTACTCCATACTGGACAAGTAAAACCCGTATTTGTCAAATCAATTATCATTGTTAAAGCCATGTTCTCCTCACTCTGTTTCTAAATTTCTGTCCTGTCCAGTGCAAACATCCCTCCATTCAAAAGAGCTGAATTTAGTCTACAAATTTCAAAAGATCAAAATGAAATAAAACAAAATAAACCTTTGGAAATGTTGGCCTTTTAGTATTCATAATAAAAAATACAGATTCCTTCTAAAATCTGTTCTAGATACGTTTCCTTCTAGACATGTTTCTAGATATGCACCTTTCTGCTCTAGATATGTTTGAGAAGGTAGACACAATGACAGTTCTCATGAATGTATTAAATACTTACAAATCCCTGTAATTTGCAATAAAGATTTTACTAACTTGAATGACAGAAGTAAGAGTAACCCAGCCAAATCTACTGAAAATCCTGTTGCTAATTGACAAGCAGATTAACAGGAGCACTCATGGTACCTATGTATTGCTACATTATTTATTGTACCATTTGGTTCTTTTTCATTTCACCGGTGACACAGAAGAAACTGCAGTGTGTTGAGCTGCAGCTGCCACTTAAATGTTGCTTTTAAACCATGTAAGATTTCTTATTTAAAAATAAACTTGACAGTTTGGGGAAAAAAAAATAAAAAAACCCCCTATGAATTAAATCCATTTTACTGACAATTTTTGCCTCATATAAATTTTTTTCAAGACCATAGGTCAGATGGAAACCAGACTGCTTCATTCATTCATGGGCACTACTTTGGCTCCATGTGCATTTATATAAGTAAGAAAAATTTTAGACCTCCTTTCTATTACATCAATAAGCTTTTCAATTCCTTTTCTGCCTCCTTGGCTCTCCCAGTATATTTTGTCAAGGAACAAAGATTGGAGCAACTTCTCACGTAAACGTTGGCTCTTCAGCACTGAAACTGCAGATTCAGGGAATCTGGAAAAGCACAAAGAAATTCATCAGCTTTGCCATCATTCTGAATTGCAATATTTCTGTTGTGGTTTAGCAATCAATTCTATGAATATAGACTGCAACTCAGCAAAGGAAATCCATGCACGTGTAATCATACGCATGTTAATCGTATCTTTCACAGCAGTGGGATTAGTCATACATTCTTAGACATATCTTGCAAATGTCTTGGGCTGATGATATCTATTCCAGCAACTTAGTGTGTCTCATGCTTAAACAGTGAAAAAAAATATCAATCTTTTTTACAAAATTAAGAATTTAAAACTCACTCATTGATTCCTTGTAATATTTTGAAGTCAAGATTGTCCTCATTTCTGTCAAAGAAACCCTTATTGTCTATAAAGGCCAAGTGCCTTCGGTCATGCCTTCTCTGAACTATGTGTGTCAGGTCAACAGCATCCTGATCACTACATTTCAGCTTCAGTCCTTGCTGCACGCAGGAATCCTCCTTGAGAGGTTTGAATCCACAGCAGTTTCTGTCTAGCCGATTATAGATCTAAAACAAAGTACAGCAGAGTGCCAAGTGAAAACAATAACAAAGTATTTGGGGTAAAGTGTCACTCTAAGACATTGCTCACTAATACATCTGTCAGGAAAGCAAGTTCAGGACAAGTATAATTAAAGTCAGCAGTGAAATGGCGTTGAAGGCCTGGTCCTCATACTTCAAGTACTGTTAGACTCTCAGACTGCATATTTCATACAGTTTCTAGATATGACTTATGTCAGTAGAAATTCTTTGAAAATAATGGAACAATACCACTGTATAACTGGAATAACAAGCTGGTGAATACAATTCTATTTTTTTCAGGAGGTTCTAGGTTTTTTACACTTTCTTTGCTGGAGAACAATAGAAATAGCACAGCCTGACACACACTGAGGGTCTCCATTTTGTGGGACCAATTAGACTAATAGTACACAAAAAAAAAATTGAGAAGATTAGTAAGGGGCACAGCAAACCATCAGAAGCTATGAAATGCAAGAACTGTGCATTTATAATCACAGAGCAGCCTCCCTGAGCTGCACTGTTGTATATACTTTAATGACATGATGGTCCAGGCTTTTTTTTTCCCAGGCTAACCCTGGCTTATTCACCACAGAGCACTTAGCTGGAAGGAATACATCTGGTATAACTTTAGCAGTGTAAATATGAGGCATCTCTTCTGACTTAGTCATTTATGTTCCCTTTCAAAAACAACGACAAGAATGAGGCACCCTCAGAGCAAAGGATGCCATTTTAGGATAACCACGTAATCCCAACAGGATAAATCTCTCCTTGAAACCGTTTTTACCCCTGTTGACCAGATAAGTGTAAATACAGAGCATTGCCAAGGTCCTGAGTGCAATAGGCCTTATTTGCCCCAAATAGCCTTACCTGGGACCTCCACACACCCTACCACTGACTATGAGCCCAGAAGCTCCATCAGGCCTGACACTTCTTCCTTAGAGCTCTCCTAGTTGCTTGCTGTTGGGCTGCCCTTGGCTCCAGCTCATCTGCCCAGGGAGCAGCCCTGCTCCTGCTGGCATGTGCTTACAGACTGGAACTCTGGTCTGGTGCATCTAAGGCTTAATGAGTAGCTTATCAAAGATAAATAATTTTTTCTGTCCTTTGTTGTATACTGCTTATAAAATTACTGCCTCCTAATTTTGTTCATCAGAAGAAAGTCTGAGAGTTGTTTTTTCCTTAAGTATGTAGTACTGCTGCCACCAATCCTAGCGGCAGTGTTTGTTTCAAACGTGAAAAAAAAATGAGGAAAGGAACAGATTTCTATTCTATGTTCTCCTTTCATGAGCAGCATTCAGCATCTGCAGGCACTAAAGACCCTCTTGCTTGCAGTGTTCTAGCTCATGGGATCTCTCATTCAAGTCATCCAAAGGCTTTGCCAAAATGAAGCAGAATCCTTCCAGACAAACTCCTTTGATGTGTGGCCCTAATTTCATCTGAATCTTACTTTGTTACATACATTAAATAGACAAGGTGGTAATTTCCTTACAGACATCCTCTTCATATCTTGCATCATTCCAGTGTTAAGACGGAATGATGGGACACTCTGGGATTGATGCAGCCACCTTAATAGTTTAGCATTGGTTTTTGTCATATTTATGTACATGACAAGTCCAAGCATCCAAAATTAAAGAAGCCATTTAAAATGTAATGTCCTTATTTTAATTGAGTCCTTGCAGAAGACAAGTGAAGGTTGGCTATAAGCATTTTTCAACCTGCTTCTATGTTTTACAACATTTGAAATCAGAGACTAGGAATATCTATTACAGGCACCAAATCTATTCTTCTAAGGGAAGTTCATTTAATAGAGAATACTTTTCACCATTATTCTTTATTTCTGAATGACTCATAAAGCACAGATTCCCTCTTTGGCATTTTTTTGTTTTAGAGCCTTCATGTTCTACTGCTGATAAACTCTAAAGTCCTGAGAGCACTCAGACAAAATTTTAGTCTTTCAGAGCTGTAAGGCCCACTTCCACTCACTTTCTGGTATGCATGTTCTTGTCTGGTATGCAACTCAAAGTATAAATCACTCTGATATCAGCTACTATCATAAGAGTAATTTGTTTCTCATGTAAAGTTCACTCCTTTTGGTACAGTTCAATCCTACTGTAGCTTATTTTAACTGACCACTTCTCCTGGATAGTAGTAGTTTGATTATGAAGATTAAAAACTTGTCTTGGAGGACCTTAAAATTAGAAATCAACACAGAACTCATGAGAATTTTTAAACTGTTCAAGACAATAACATGAAAACATTAACTCTGATATAATCCATAGTATTCCTGTAGGGACATTACTATGTTTAATGTCAGAATAATCCTCATATGACTTTATACCAGTCTCTAAGAATTACTTGCTCATAGAAGGACTAAAGATGGAGTCATTAGGCAAATGACAATCTATTTTTAGAGAATTGGATGCTTTCTTTAACATAATAACTTTGCAAAATATAACCTAAAAGAAATTTGGAACATCCATTCATCATACAAGAGGACTAGAGAAGGACAGGTACAGGCATAAACCAAGTCATTTTTATCTTTAAAGAAATGTACTCTATAAAAAGCTGAATTATGTGAACAACCAGACATGGTGTATAAAAGTTGTGCTTGCTGCAGTTTTAAATAAACCAGTAAGTGGTACAGAATGCTCAGTCACCCAGACCTGTCTGGCAGGCAAGCACAATTGGAAGTAGTGTCATATCTGAGGAAGCTACAAAATTAGCTTCCAGCCAGGTGGTTCAGTTGAGTCCTTATTAATACAGGGCATATATTAACATTCTACTATATAATTGCTCTATCTGTAGCCATACTTTATGATACAACCAGGCAGAGCCCTAGTTTGGTGTTATTTAGAGAGCTAATGATAATGTGCAGGACCTAAATGAGTAACTGCAGCCATGTGATTTTTCAGTGGCTGCTCTACTCTTTCCTTACTAAGTCACTAGTGATGTTTTTAAAAAGGAGAATTAGCCACTACAACTCCTATCTTGATCCAGATTTCAGCTGACTAAAACCACTTCTATCAACTTGGAGGGCTGGGGAGGTGCTGGAAAGAGCACACAGTTAAAAAGTGTTTTACAGTCACAAACATAGCCAGGTTTGGAGGAACAAGGAGTCGAGGAGAAACAATAAGCCTGCCTCAAGGTGGAATAAAACAAGATGTCTCAAGACAAAGGCCTTTGCTTCCTTTTTTGGAAAATGAGTCAGTCAAGTTCCACGTTTTCTTTCCTTGGTTATAACTTGCATTTTGGATATTTTTATCATAAGAAACCACCAGCAAAAAAAAGTTCAAACTGTGCAAATACACCTCTTCCCCATTTAAAAAAATAAAAAAAAGGAAATAAACTAAAATTACTTTTCTAGGACCCCCTTGTGTGCTCATATGAATTCTGAGGCAGATAGTTGTATTCAGTAAATGTTTTACCTGCAGAAGAAAATCAAAGAGTGCCATCTTGGACCACTCGTGATGATGGATTTCAGTACAGCCCCACTCAGCTTTGGGAACTTTACCATTCTGCCAGCATTTCTGCTTCAGTAGCTGCTGATACTGCCCCCAGGTTAATTTCACTGAAGAATGAGTATTATTATCTGTTGGACTCAGTGACGAATCCCAGAGAGTAATGGGACAGGCTTGACCATCTGAAAAAGGAAAAACACATCAGTATAGTGCAGTACTGTCAGACTTACTTGATCATTCTTTAGATATTACCTAAGCATCAATAATTATGCCATTTTAGAGATGTGGCAAGAAAAATGGCCTAGGACTAATAATTTTACATCCTTTGGTTAATTTGGTCTTATTGTGCATATAAAACCGCTCGCGGCAGGAACGAAGCAGCACAGCCATTATAAATGCCTTCTGTGTACAAAAGGCTTTCTCCATTTGAAGCAAAAGTTAACGTACAAAGTCATACTAAACCAGGCTTTTAGAAAGTTTGTAGGTAGATTAAGAGCCTACAATCCTACTGTGAAGCAGTGATGTAACTTTCCACTGATGCCAGTGGAGAGATGATGGTTCACAGGAGCTGCAAATTTACATTGTGGAAATTTTTTATACATACTGGGCACAGAAACACTACAAATACTATACTCAAAGTGGATCTGTTTCGCTACCTTTAGTATTTTAGGACTATAATGCAGGATTTCACAGCCCTGAGATGATATATGAGAGTACCAGGGAGTGTGATCTTAAGCATGAGCAAGCACCTTGGCTAGTTGGTTGTTTTCTTTTCCTAGTTATAACATGAGATCTGTTTTGTTTAGCAATGGCTATGGCCACGTTTTTCTGTGTTAGGAATATTCTGCTCTCCACTGACACTAAGTCAAGGGCCTTAGCTTTTGTGAATTTTCAGAGTTCTTAGTGGAAAGAAACCTAAGCAAAGAATTAAAACTGAGTTTTCCTAGCATAGCAACAGATATATATATACACCCCTCCTATTACTTGATATTGGGTGATAACTATCTTCCTAGGCAAGTGGAACTCTCCTTTTCATTGCTGATACAATGCTGCCGGGGCCTAGGACTGACTGTGGCCTGCACACACATTAGAACAAAGAAATCCTTTATACTTTTGGGTGCAAACAGAAGACCAAAATATAATGTCAGTACAGAGAGGAGGAACCATTTAACTGCAAAGCAGCTATTTACTAAATAGTAAGTGTTGGAACATGTATAAAACTTTAAAACTTATTTATATTAAAGGTCTATGAACCTAAAGCCCACACTACTGTACAATTTATCATATAGTTAAATGCAGCCTAAATTGCCTCTGTCTTCAGATGCCCGTGGAGCCAGAGATACATTTGGAAAGAAGCTTTAAGAAACTCACGAATGCCACAAGGTTAATGGCTAATGGCACCTTCCTCTCCAGAGGCTAGCCAGACAGAAAATAGCACAGAGACAACAGGTACTAACTCCAACAGCAAGGTAAAAGCTGCTAATGTGAATGCTCCACCTGTAACCAGCAGGGACTGTTAAAAACAGAGTTCCCTACAGCTGAATCAAAAAGCAACTTGTTCAAGGGATGCTGACTGATCTAAAACAGGTGAGAAATTACCTTTGTCCATACTTAGCAGTGAATCATCTCAGATTTATCAAGAGTATAACAGGCCCCACATGTAATCAAGCCCAAGAAAAAACTGAACTCCTCTCCAAAACCATAATGTACTCTGCCTTCTCTCTGCTGTGGCTTGCACAAACAAGGTAGCCACTCTCAAGCCAATCCAACGTGCAGCTCCACCATCTCTTTATCTTCCCTCCCAGATGTCCAGTGTTTCCTCAGGAATACACGTGTTCTTCTATTAGGAAAACCACTCTCTCTCTTTTACTAGGATCAGTACTACCTTTATCAGCACCATGTGCCACATTTTTCTATGCTCAAAAAACAGTGCTGAGTGCTCCTGAAAATTTGGCTTCTGCTGAGTTGCCTGAATAATTATTTAAGAAATTAATTTGGGAGATCTTAGCCGTTTCCCTCTCTCTTGCTCTGGTTCTATAATCAGGGCTACTAGGAGGCTAAGCCTATTTTCCAAGCCAGTTGGAGAAAGTCTATATAAGCATTGGGAATTGTCACAAAAAAAGGACAGCTTTCTTCAGGACCAAGTCTGATCTATTATTTTTATCTCAAATAACAGCTTATGTAACTATTCATGAATTCTTTCACAAACCAAATACATAAATGGTATTCTAACAAAACAAACATCTCCTGTCTACCCAAAAGGGACATGATAAACAATAGTAATATAAATACTTGAAAAATATGAATAATAACTTGCCAGTTTCCACTAAGATATAAAAACATTTTTAAAAGACCAAGGCTAAACACAGGAAATGTTTGCATGTCAGAGGAAATGGGAGTAGAAAAGATGAGCCAAAATCTTTCAACTCTGTAATACCAATTGAATTTCAGGGATATGAAACAGCAGCTTCAGTAAAGAGCAGTGACTCAAATTTTTGACACTTACAGGAAAAACAAGAAGATGCTGAATTAAAGGAGATAAGGAGTCTGATTCATAGCTGTGTGAATAGGCATGAGCCCACTGAAAACAGTGGGGCTCTTCCAATTCAAAGCTTGTGAGGATGGGGCTGAAGTTAACTGAATGGTGAGAAGTAAGGCCTGGCTAAGAATCTAGCTTCCATTTTGATGCAGCCAAAACTGAGGCTGAGCATGCTTCACCGTGTTCCACACGCTCTTCTTTCCTAATCAGCTAAGGGCTACAGCTGTTCTCTTGCTGCAGCTGCATTTCACCGAGTCTTGCCCAAAGCCAAACGACTTAGTTTTATCTTCATCTGACATTTTAGACCTATGGATCTATTTGCCTATCTAAAGGCTATCTGCAAAATTGTATGGGAAAGATTTTTCAAAACTTATGTCAGAACCAGCTTCCTAATAATTCCTATGAATTTTTAAGCATCAAAATATTTTCAAAAAGTTCTTAGGTCCTTAGGAGCTACTGGCTCAGTATATCCTGAATTGAATAAACTAACACAGATGAAACCTCAGGCTGCTGAGACTAGACTACTTCAAGTACCAAACTGCTTCCTGTACAGTTAGGCAATGCATCACTGCTTGGCTTCTTCAGCATAGGCATCATCTTAGCCACACACCACATCACTTTGAAAACAGCCTGTTTCTTAACCACAGAGATGCTCTTGCAAATGTCACTCTTCAATCTTGTGTTCTAACTTGTATCTACATTTTTTCTAGCTTCCTTGAAAGAAAATATTTTGAAACATGCCCATGAAAGCATCACTAAAGAGTAATTCTTTCATGAAGTATTTAAAGCCCTTTCTCAAACTCCTCATTGTCCACTGTAAAGCAGTACGGCTTACCACTGCCACATCTGAAATAAACAGTTTAGTTGTCCATGTGTTAGCAAAAGAGGATGATTTAGTATGGAAAGATGAGGAGGACTGACACACTTGGATTGTAGAGTAAGTTCTGAAGGAAAATATAAGGGCCAGAAGCAGAAAGCAGAGAAAAGTTCAGCCTTGTTGCTACAATCCAAGGAGCCAGAGTCCTGTCCCTGCAGCTGTCGCTGCAACACGGGAGCAAGCCTGCTCCAGCCCAGGTTACTCCAGTGATAGCTCAAGTCCAGACAGACACTGGCATTGTCCTACCCTGCAAATGATGTTGCTGAGCTACAGGCAATATGTACAGCCATTTTACTTAGCTTTTGTGCAAATTAAGGTGGGGTTGTGACACTAACCAAAGTCACTTATGTCTCTTCTGTCCTCAGGTTAGGGTGATGAAATATACTCGGTCCTGTGGTATTAATGTGACCAGCCCCAAACTCAGACACAAAAGCATCAGCCTCCACAATTTGACACTTTTTCTCCCAGACAGACTCAGTTTTATGATTATCTCTTGTTGTTTTACAGGCTTATCCTTTTTTTTGTTTATTGCTTGACATTTTTTACACCTTGTAGGTGGCAATGGGAGTAATGAATGTTTGCTTGCATATGTCCAGAATCATGCTCTTTTAGACTTTAATGCTGAACTCAAAAGTGGCTTGCCCACCTGTACTCCCCAGGCTTTTTATGTTCAGCCAATTCATTGCAAAAATATGAGAGAAAGACTTATCGTACCTGACTTTCCCATCCATGATGGAAAAATAAGACTAAACCATTAAAAAAAAAAAATCAGTTAACACTTAAAAAGGCTTTATAATTAAGTAGGGAAGGCAAGGGCAGTAGGCAGAGGACTTGCATCCAGCATTTTGCTAGACTTAAAAAAATCAATGGGGAATTTGTGGGAATAGGGGAAACAGAACCTGTACAGAGATTTACGAAGCTGTTCTTTGAAACTGCTTTTGACAAAATGAATGACAGTTTTGAAAAGCCCATTTTTAAAGATTTTAATGCTACATCAAACATGTCTTGTTAGATCACATCACAACTGAGGCAAGCTAAAGGGATATGTCGTGGAAAGAGACATGTCAGCCCAGAATTGGTGTACATTTATACACACACACACACGCACAGTCTCTAAGCCTGCATTGCTTTCTTTCCCATACAAAGAGCCATGATTCACATAAGCTGCCCTGAAAAAACTTTACAGTGCCCACCTAATCTTAATTTAAACGCATATGAGTTATGGAAATGAGCTCACTGGTTGTTCATATTATTTTTAAAAATATATTTTGTTCATTTTCTCAACACAGATGTTTTCCAGATTATACCAAACACAAGCACGTAAAGAGCAATGAGCTCAAGTAGATATTAGACCTTTAAAGGTCCCTTCCAACCCAAAGGATCCTATGATTCTATGATAGTAGGCATTTCAGCTCCAGCATATTTCTGGGCTAAAGAAATGGAGAGAGACAAGGCACAATAACTGTTCCAAGTGCTCTGTTCAGCCTTTAGCTGGAAAAAATGAACTGAGACCAAAATAATGTTATTTCTCTTCTCATCACCTAGCAACACTCTCCTTGCTATAAGAACATAGCCATTTAGGAGGAAAAGAAAATTAGAGAGCAGAATGACAGTCTCTGTTCCAGACAGTCCAAAACCTACTGTAAGGTGACAGATACTGAGCAACACAATGCACAATTAGCCTAATAGCAGTTTTCAGAGGCTTGCAGTCTGTCATCTCTGCAGCCACACTGTACAGAGCTCCTCCAACCAAACTACCTTAATGCCTTATGACAGCCCTATAGCAATAAATCTTGTTCCTAAAAATAAACTAGGCATAATGTATCTTCCATGCTCTGCAAGTATGAATAATATTCAGAAGCTTCCAAACTGTTGTTCCTAGAGATTCATTCACATTCCTGTACAAGCTGCCAAAGGGAAGGTTTACAAAGCAGGAAGAAACTGGAGATCACTGGATTGTCTTTTTGCTGTCAAGCTTCAGAAATAGTCATTCTTACATTACTTTTTTTGAGAAACACAGACTGCAATAAAAGTATCTGGTATAAGCTAACTTCAGCAGCAAGAAATAAATAGCAAAACACTGCTAGCCACTTTAGCAATGATTCATTAAAATGCAACGCAGTCCTTTTGGATTGTAATTTGTGACTGTACAAAGATAGCAGTTAGGCTGATGACATTTAACAAGATAGCAAAAAGAAGCAGAAGTAGAATTCTAACTCGTATTCCTACCACCTGTTTGAGATTAATTCATTCCTCACTTTCAACAATATTTTAGCTGGGGGGGAAAAAAAAAAAAACCAAACAAAACAAAACACTACCACCAACCAACCAACTAAATCACAGAGGATTCTGGAATTCCTTTCTTTCACCAGTTTCACTTCAGACAGTCTGTACAATGTCATGCAATCTCCAGATGATTCCCTCTTTTTTTTTTTCTCATTCCAGACTCTCATGGAAGGGAAACTGTTACTGCCTTCAGCAGCTCAATGATTTTTGATCTAAACTTTGAGGCACTGCATCCTTTGGACAGGATAATTGCACTGCAAAAGTTACACACAGGTATCAGCTTTACTTGTAACAATGGGCCTAGTTCTCAGGCTCACAGGAGTTAAGTGGTGGCTGTTGGCCCATGGGTAACGTGGGAGAGGGAAGGAAACCTCAGCACCCCACCTGAAAGCTGAAAAACATAGGAATGCGTTACCTTGGAAGAATTCGGATCTCCTGCTTACAGAAGGTAAGCTCCTGTTTAGACCCAAGATCCTATCCAAATGAAAGGCAAACACCTCACTCATGTCGAGGGGTCTTTTGATGATGCCACAGTGTCCCTGATGACAAGCAGTTCCTGTGGGGCTGGGACCTCTTGCAAACGCTACGAGGACTGCTTTATGAGAAGGTACTTCTTGGATGCTCTCTATCTGAGAATCGGCCAGCATGCGCATGTTTAGGATGTCCTCTCTGCTCAGCCATGAGGGAGAGCTCTCACTGTAGATCCTGATGTTGCTTTCCGCGGGATGGGGCTGTGCCTTTGTCGCTTCAGCAATCCCCCCAGGTCTCTCGAGGCCCCTCTCGCTGAGTGCCATTCCCTTATGCCTGTACTCATTCAGCTGGTGCTTTCTGGCCTCCAGAGCTATTGCTGCTCCCACTGTGCCCGTGGCATGCGCGGCCCTCCCTGGCTGTTGGGCCAAGGCCTCTTCCTGGCCTTTAAAAGTATCTTTTGGAAAGCGCTGCCCATAGGACAAAGGAGTTGTGTGTTTCTTCCTGCGCTTTGGCTTCACTGTGCCTCTGATATTGGCAGGCTTGCTGCGCTTGGACCGCAGGGTGATATAAACGACATTGGGTGGCAGCAAGGTCCCATTGCTACTAAGCTGGGGTTCCTGGAAATTGGGTGGTGACAGGGTGCCATCCAGTGGGATGCCCAGAAAAGGTGTTTGGGCTGCATCTTGAAGGCTTCTGGAACCGATCTTCTGGTGTCCTCCTTTGTGCTGGGGTAAAACATGACCCACTTGACTGATGAGGAATCCCACGTAGATCACACACACGGTGCCCACTAGCAGATTCCTCCTTGTCCTCGGGCGCCTGCAAGTCCAGAGCCTCAGCACCCATGGGGGGCATAGGCAGCAAATAAACAAGTTTTTGATTTTGCTTGGCTGATCAAAGGTGGTCATTTCTCTAGTGAATCCACATGATGAAAACAGCATAAAGTCTTCTGTACATTCCAGCCAGGATGATGATGCATGATTTCCCCTTCACAGCTTCTATTTCTCCTTTTCCAAATGGCTTCCAGCATGGGTGATGGACAGAGGCTACCAATATAGCTGGGAATGTGTTTAGTACTAGGGATGCTGACACTCCACCTCCTCAAGCCTTAAATTCTTATCAGCCACCACAGAGGAAGTGATTGGCTTCAGAGAATGAATGGAGCCAGCTGTGTAAGCAAAGTTTACTGACTTGTAGTCTAAAAGATCTGAAGTATCTCCTTTGCAAACTGCAAACAGAAAAAGATAGTGTTTTATTTCATTATTCACATATGGCTTCTGTGGTTCTATATTTTTGAGAGACAGAAGTTAGAAATACTAGAAATCAGGATGCACCTTTCACTTTCTCATTACAATATGTTAAAAAAAAAAATAAAAAATCATGAAATACCGACACGATTTGCAATCTCAGCTAGCTGTATTCCAGCATTAGAAGAAAAACTTGTCAAATCCAGATCATTATTGTCTTTTTCTTATGAGGCGAAGTCTTCACTAACCTTCATGTTATGCAAATGCTGTAAATTACACAACATTAATCACTAGTAACTGTAGTAAATATGCACATTCACTAATATGAAAGTATATTAGCAATGCCAGATTTCCCTAGTTGAATATGAATATAATTCACATACTTCATAAACACATTAAATATGAAAATACAGTTAATTCTCTTCACTCTTGTGAAGCCATAAATAGGATATAGCTATAGTTTTTCAAATAAAATGACAGTGGCTTACATATCCTTTCAAACAAAATTAAAAAAAAAAAAGAAAAGAAAGAATGAGCCCATGTTGTATAAGTATATTGCTATAAAAATATAAAATCTCTTACCTATTCAGCTTGACACATCCTTCATTCTGCTAAACTCCTTAGGCTAATAAAAGTAACTTAGTAAAAGCTGATGTTCTCAAAGTATTCAAACAAATATTTCAGCCTTAAGTATGGTTCACATTTAGGTATTTCATTGTAAGCTAACTACTGTTTGGAAGCTAACTGTACTGAGAGGTGGTTTGCATATGAACAGCCATAAACTTACATGAACTTCACGTTATGGGGGAAAAAAAAAAAAAAACAAAAAAAAACCAACTCCCAAACCAGCAACTTCTATTTTGAATTCTGTAATGAAAAGCCCTGTGAAGTATGTGCCTTCCAAGAGTGCATTCCATCCATTTCTAACTCCTGAGGGCCCTCTAGTGAACTGCATGCAAATGTACTGAAGAAATTCCCATTTTCCACATTTATTTTTTTTTAAGTATAAATAACCCCTCTGCCCCCTGAATTTTAGAACTTCTGGGAATAATATGTTCTTATGATGAGAAATGAAAAACAGATAGCAGCTTTTAAAATGCTATTAACGCGCTGTTAAATAGCTCAGGAGCGTTTCCTGTTTGTGCTTTCCCAAGTGAGGCACAGTACAGTCATATACAGATAGAAAAGCTGAGGCAGAGAAGTTAAGGGCTTGTGCAGAGTTATGCAGTGAGACACTGGCAGAGCTCTGACTTCTTGCCTAGTCTAAGTACAAAATAATAAAACCTATATGTTTGTTGCAGTTCAAGCTAATGGAGATATTCTCTTCTTCATAATTAATACTAATGGGAGTAGAGGGTTACAGAATCGGTTTGTTTCAGATGGGTCTAATATGAATTTATAAAACTTTCTGAGTGGATTTTTTTTTCCATAGCCATCACTTTACTTTTTTCTCTAAATGTGTATTACTGAATTAAGATTTCAGCGTCTGTGCCCATTACCAGGAAAAGAACCTTCATATCAGCTGTTTTTTTTTCCAAGTCTCAGTTCTCAGATGAATCGGAATTGTAAGAAATCTCTCTGGTAATGGAAGTTTTTCTCCTTTTTATTCTTCAGTTCAAATTTTACTGAAGAGTCATATCCCAAAGATAGACAATTAATTCAAAAAGCTCCAGATAAGTGTATGAGTAAAGTCACTAAAGCTGTGGCTACTGCAGCTTAACATTTTTTTTTTATACTTTAAAGAAGTTGCCACAGATGGACATTATAAGATCAACCTTAGATGCTTGAGGGTCACACTGAAACATAAAAGGTCATTAGTGAGAGGTTCAAGCTTTGCAACCCGTTTGAGGAGCAGACACTGTCTATGGCTCACAGTGAGAACAGCCTCCTGTAGCCTATTTAATACCAGTGCAAAGCGAGTGCAAAATATCAGCAAAGTTATATGGCTAAAACCAGGGTAAATAAGGGTAACTGGGTATTGAAGCCTGAGAAAAGAATTTCACTCATTGTGCATATTTATACCTATGCATGAAGAGTTTTTTAAAAAATATTTAAGACAGGTTCCCCCCTTTAAGGCTACATAATGAAAACAAAACAAATAAAAACAACTCCCACACAATTACACCTCCTGGATTCTGTTTTGACCTACTGGTGATTTTGACAACAAATAATACAGCATGAAGCTTTTACCCCACTATATGTCTTCCATGTGTCTTTGGATTATTTTGCAGGGTTTTTACTTTATGTTGCTAACGACACAGAGTTGCTTGAGTTGGAAATGTATCACACTGCAACAGTTGTTTTCAAATGCCCTGTTCTTGTATGTAGGCAGCACCATGACCTGTCCCTTACAAACATGGAGTGCCAAAACAGTGCATTGTAGTTATTAACAGCTTTCCTTTGCTATGACATTTCTCTTTACTTAGAACTTTGGAAACTATATAATCTGCAACTCCTTAAAGATTTTCTGGAGGAAATTACAAAAAAATACGGAGAATTCTTCTTCACTCCTCATTTCATCTGCAGCCTTGAAATCAAAATGCGGTGTACCCACAGATGTACAGTGTTGACTGCCGAGGGTTTTTTGCGGTTGAATGTGATGATAACAATATTTCTTTCACTCTTCATGTTCAGAATGGAGAACTCTTTCTTTCATTGCTACATCATTACCTTCTTAGGAATTCAACCAAGTAGGATACAATATCTGGTTAATTTAGCAGATATTTGCCTCTAATTCTGGATATTTAAATTATAGCATATTGAGAGACATTCTTTTTTGCAGCTCTTCTGCCATACAGCTCCAGCACCCTGCTAGATTTCACAAAATAATTAAGGCTGGAATGGCTGTGGACTTGCTTGGAAAACAAATGATCATGTTTCAGGCAAGACAAAGAAAAAGCTTGGTGTTCAGGTGGGTAGTGATCTTCTTCCTGGAATCATCACTAACCCAAAGCTGCAGCAGGGCACCAAATGGCATTACTGAGCAGAAACGGGACTTCCTCTGTGGTAATAAAATATCCCATGCTAGTTTTTTTGAAAGAATAGATTGAACAATACTATTTTTCTGACCAAATTCCGGCCTAGGTTATTGCATTTTTCCTACCTATATTTAGCCTGTCATGTCAGTTACATTCTGTATTTATTCCTTGCTCTAAACTCTATCTGTGGTGTTGCCATCTGTGTCCATTAAACTCAACTTCTCCTATAATTTTTTTACATATCCAGATTTCAGGGCCAGTGTTATCCTGTCCTAAGTTTAGGAACACAGGAATATCAAAACTAATATTGGAGAACAGCAATGAATGGAAGAGGGAAATTTAAGAAGCATTTTCTAGTCCCTGACATTTCTAGGTATAGTTTGAAAATGTAAATGAATAGCTGAATTGTAGATTTGCAATTATTTTCTTATTTTTGTTTAAATTCTGAAATTAATCTCTACCAGCATTTCTTGAAGAAATCAGATCAACTTGTGCTTGTGGGAAGGACTGTCACCCAGGTTGCTGTTGATGGTGTTGGACAAGCTACAGACTCTGAAGCAGCTGATGGCCAGCACTGCCACCAGCCTTTCTGTTAAACAGTCTCTGGCCAACCTGCAGGAGATGGCTGGGCTGAGCCAGTGACCACCAGTAACAAGCTCCTGCATCTGGACTCATGCTGGCAACTTCAAATTGCAACATCTAGTTACTGAAATGCTCTGCCCCATTTTCAAATACCTGAAGATGGGAAGATATTAGTAACACATTTTTAGGAAAGAACAGTGAGGAACAGGTGAGTATCAGTTTGAGTGGGATAGAGACAGTAATGACAAGTGGTTGCTGATGACTCCTCTGAGATTCATTTGTCCAAATAAAACCAGGGGCAGAATTTTTGGTAAACATTTCATTCAAGATTCTTCTGAAGCCAAAGCTCAACACCACTTTTATCCCTGTACACTTGAAAGGGTGTAGTTTTATGTTAGGCTGCTTAATTTTGCATGCTCATGCTTTCTATGTGCAGGCAGTTCAATGTAAAAGCAGATAAATATTTTTTTTAACATTTTCCTTTTTTTTTTTTCTTTCCTGAATAAGATAATGCAACACATAGAGTCACATTGCCTTTGGAATAAAGAGGACTTCTTTTTCTTCCATGCTACATTTGTGATTATCAGACAGGATATTGTTCCTCTCAGATGCACTACAGCTAAGCTGTTTCCATAGAGACGTTCTGCAGTTCATCTCTAAATGTCACACGGACAGGCATTTATGTTAAAATGATAGGTAAATGGTGCACTCCTAGCATTACTGAATGCATGGGACTGAGGACTTATTCTTTAAAGAAAACCTGTATGTCCTAATTATGGAAAATGCAGATTTGATTTGCAAAACATGAAGCGTTACTTTAGAACGCCTGTGCTGTGTTTGTAAGATCGATTTGGGCTGACATCTGGAAACTGTACTCCGAGACAGCAGAGAGAAATGTTTGCTTCCTGACTCAACATGCGCACTAATACTCTATGCTTTACTGGCCTGGGTCAAATCCTTACAGGGAAATACACAAAACTTCCTTCTCGACATTGTGCATTAGTTTATTCTTTCCTACTGGGTTTTGGCGGCCGAACAAGGCAATTGTTGTGCTTAGGGAAAATCCCCTAAGCCGTGTGCCGGCTGCCCAGCCGGGTGCCCT